TACTGTTACAAAAATGGTAGGAAAATCACCACCACAAAGAGCAGCCTTGTTTACAGGAGACAGCAACCAGGGAAAATGAGGTTGCTCTGAATCACAGAATCCCAGACTGGTTTGGGTTGGAAGGGCCCTTAAAGCTCATCCCATTCCAACTCCCTGCTGTGGGCAGGGAAATCTTCCACTGTGCCAGGTGCTGTAAAGGCTGTGAAATGTGGTTTAGGTGGGGAGAAATCCTACCCAACTGGATCCTGCCACTTCTCTGTGGTAGCCACTCTGGAAAAGTTTGGTTCTGGATAGAACCCATTCTATCAATTTATTTAAGAGGGGCCTTTTTAAAAGTGGAAATTTCTGTCTGATTGAAATCAGAGGTTCCTCCACAGGCATCTCCAGGGCAGCAATCCCAGGTGATTCCTGCAAGGTGGAGCTTTTCCTCTGAACTTTCAGGCAAAGGGAAGCCCTGCAGTAACCTTGTGACAGTGTCTCTGTTCTTCAGCTGCTTTGATCACTCATTCCTTAGGGAAGGTACAAGAGGCAAATTTGAGAGCAGAACCTCCGGCTGCTTTTCCCACTGGTGCAAAGGCTGGTGAGAGGTTCCGAGGTGACCCTGGGTGTCCTGCAGAAGGGTCAGAGCTGCCCAGCCCGGCCCTTCTCCAGGTGGGGCTGGATTTTCTGTGGGGAGCAGGAGCTAACCCCCTTCGCTCTGGGACGCTGGGCTTCTTCCAGTCCGTGCCACAAACCCTCGGGAATCTCCCTCCGCAGCCGGGGCTGGGCGGGGCTGCTGGGGAAGCCTTCGGTGCCAGTCCTCGCCACAGGGAGTTTGGCTTTGTGTTCTCACCGAGTGGTCACTTCTGCTTCTCCAGCGGGCAGAGCTGAGCCGGCCCAGGGGCTTCTCCTTCCTCCGACTCCCAGCACTGCTCCCAGCCCTCCCCTCCCCGCGCTGCCTCTGACCCGCCTTTCCTTCTTCCCCGCAGGTCTGTGCAGACTTTTGCAGACAAATCAAAACAAGAAGCTCTTAAAAACGACCTGGTGGAGGCTTTGAAGAGGAAGCAGCAAAGTTAAAGTCCTGTCAGTGCTAACCAGCCATGCCATGCACTCGTTAGATTCCTTTCATAGAGAATCATCCCCCGCCCTTTTCTGTTGGTCACGTCACGATTTGCATCCAATACTCTCCATGCAGCGCCATCCTCTCCCCATGAATAAAGCTGTACAAACTTTTTCAGCCTCTGAGGCCTACTTTGCACCACATTTTACTATCGAGACCTTAGGCTATGTTTCTGTAGAAGTCCATGTATTATTTTTTTTTCTCCCCCCCCCTTTCCCCACCCTCCCCCATTTATATACATCACCACAGATCATTGTTTGTCTTTTCCTCCCTCACCCCTCCTGCCTTTTGTTACATTGGTGTAAAAAATGTAAAACAAAAATTTATTAAATACTGTGGTGTGTGAAAGAGGAAGAACTGGAAAAACAAAAAAAAAAAAATAGAAAAATAATTATTCCACGTATGTTTGGGGGCTGGGCACAGGGGCTGGCTGGAGGGAGGGAGGGAAGAGAGGGTGTTCCTTGGGGTTGTACAATGCTGAGTAACCCAGATGTGCAGGAGATGGTGATTTCGAGACCTGCTGAAAGTTCTGCTCTTCTATAGCCTGGTTCCAAGGCGCTTTTCTGTCAATTTTTATGGAATGCAAAAGGGGTTTTTGTTTTGATTTTTTGGTTTTTTTTGTAAAGCTTAAATTGAATCTACATCTGATACTTGAGCCTCCATACTAAAAAATGGAAAAAAAAAGAAAATTAAAAAAAAAGACTAAAACAATAAAAACAAAAAAAAAATAAATAAAAACAAAAAAAAAATATCCCAGGAAGATGTTTGTGTGATTGTGTCCTCCTTGTTTCCCTTTCCTTCCTTGCAGGGTTTCTTGGGGTTTGTGTTTTTCCCACATCCAGAAATGTTTGTCTGGAAGGGGGTGTGGTGTCCCACTGCTCTTTGGCCCTGTGTTACTCACACTGCTGCCCTTCCCAGCGGCTGGGGTTGATGCTCCAGGCATCCAGCAAACGTTTGTGCAGGTGCATTCCGGGGAGAAGGGTCTGCCCAGCTGTGCTGGGTGTGCCCAAAGTAGCCCGGGAGCTCCTGTGCCCAACCCCGGGCAGAGGGGCTGTGCTGGGGGGTGGTTCCCCCCATCCCTGCTGACCCAAAAGCTCCTCCCTGGTCCCCGTGTCCCCTGTGACCCTGAGCCCGCGGTGGGCAGAGAGACCTGGCCCAGCACAGGGTGCCAAACCTAATCCTGGGCGAGCACAGAAAGATCTGCTGGGCTCATCCTGCCCTGGGAACTGCCCCGTGTTGTTGGAACTCAAAATGTCCCTCAGACATTTTTAGAGGTTCCAGGCCTTGGTCAGAAGCATTTGAGACCCTGGCAGGCAGCTGGAAACAGCTGTGATTTTGGGTTTGAGCCATGGAATGAGTTACCAACTTTGGAGGTGGAACAAGCAGTCACAAAAGATTAGATAGTATAGTAAAAGTAGTTACAAAACAGAGGGGAATTTTTTTTTTTTAGTATTGTACAGGGGGGTTTTAGCACTTGTACAGGGGGGTCAGAAGTTCTAAGATGGAGGAAAGTGGGCTGATCCTGTTCCTCCTTCCTTACCTCTGTGTTCTTGGTGATGTTGGCACTCACAGATTGGTTTAGAGTAGAAAAGCACTTGGTAATATAGGTAGTAGGTATTGGGGAAAACTGTAAACATGTAACACGTAATGTACATATAAAAGATAGAAAGGCACCATTTAATATAGGTAATAGGCATTGGGGAAAACTGCAGACATGTAACATGTAATGTGCTATATAAAAGATAGAAAATCACCATTTAATATAGGTAATAGGCACTGGGGAAAACTGTAACCATGTAACACGTAATGTACATATAAAAGATAGAAAATCCCCATTTAATATAGGTAATAGGCATTGGGAAAAACTATAACCATGTAACACGTAATGTACCATATAAAAGACAGCAGCAGCCCTGGCGGGGAGAGAAGAAGCAGTCGGGGTCAGAGAGGATGTCAGGGTGTGTGTGTGCCTCTGCCTGAGCTGGGAGCAAACCACAGCAGCCCGAGGAGAAAATCTTTGAGATAACTTGCAATAAACTGCCTTGAGACCAAACAACAGAGACTGCTGAGCCTTTCTTTGGAAGCTCGGGTGGGAGGAGAAATTTCACCACCATATGGGACCCCAGAGCAAGCCTGGGGTTCCCACACCGTGCGACCCTCTGCAGGTGGGGACTGTTGGCATTAACACTGACTAATTAATGTGCTCTAATTGGCATTTGTACTGAGACCTGTGTCCCACCCAGACCCCTGCACGTGGCCAGAGCTCACCCTGGGCCTGCAGGAGCTCCTGTAGGAGACAGGCTGGGAAAGGACGGGATCCCCCAGGGAACACTCTGGGATTTGGCTGCTGCCTCACAGTTCTGCCCCAGCACAAACCTTTTCTGAAGCTGGAGATGTTTGTGTGAGCTCTGGAGCCTGGGAGGGGGAAGCTCCTGGTGAGGTTTGGTTCCCCTGTCCCTCCAGGGTGGCTGGTCCTGCTCTGCCTTTTCTGCTCTAAACATGTGCCTCTGCAAAATCCTGAACAGGGACAGGGCTGCAACGACTTGGAGAGATGGGAACCTCGGGGAGAGCCTCAGGAATTTCCAGCCACCATGAGGTTAAATAATCCATGAGGTGCCTGTGGGTGTGTAAGCTCTGTGTGCAGCTGCTCGCTTTGCTCCATCCCAAGTAAAGTCAGAGTAAATCAGTTTCGTACCTAACTCGTGCTTCAGGTGCACCTGTGGGGACAGACTGTGAGATATATATAGTTAAAAAAATATATTAAAAAATATATATACACACTCTTTATGGCAGAGGTTTTCTTTGTCCAGGTTTAGGAAAAGCCAGTATGTGACAATTATTTAGTGTTGCGAGTGGCAGAGATGAGGGATTTGCTCATGGTTTGGATTAAAACAGGATATTAATTGCTCTACAATTCCCAGGGAAAGACAGGAAAGGAAACGTTGCTGGCTTCAGGATGAGGTGAGCAGCCCCTTTGCCTGTGAATCTGGAGGGGCAGAATTGTGAATTAATCCAGTGCAAACCCACTCACTTGGTTCAAGGGGCCCAGAGTGAAAAATACATTTCCTTTCTGAAGACAGCTGGGTCAGTTCCGAGTACCGGCCCAGCTCGTTTCCATGAACCTGCTGCTGCAGCTTGGTGGGCACTGGGCAGCTGGAATCCCAGCTAATGTGAGATCCAGGCTGGGCTGTGGAACCATGGATTGGTGTCCTCCATGTGAGGACAAAGCTGAGCGACTTCCTTGGGAAGGACAAATGCCATGGACTGGCCAAGGAATCATAAATTAATGCAAATGGAGCTAAAGCCAGAAGGGACACGATGCGGGGTATCAGGGAGCTGGAGAGGGGAAAGGGAGGCAAAAGGAAGAGCTGATAGCAACTGCAGGAAAAGGAAAGCTCTTGTTTCCACAAGGCCAAGCTGTGACAGTGCTTCCTGAAGGGTCTCCAAGCTTTGGTTGGTTTTCCTCATTTTCCCAGGGAGACTGAGCTGCTCATCCCCAGCAGGAAGGACTCAGGCCACGGGAGGGAGCCTGGCTACACCTCCACTCTCCTGCTGGGGACACAGCTTTGCCCAGACCAGCCTGCTCCTGTCCTGCCCTGGTCAAGGAGCACTGTGCTGAGTTCAGGGCCCCAGAGGGAGATAAACTCACCAGTGCTGGGGATAAACTCATCAGGTTGATAAAATCATCAAGGAGAGAGGGCAGGAACTGAAAACCAGAGCAAGCAGAGAAGCAGCTCTTCTGCTGGGGAACAGCAATGGAGCAACTTCCCCAAGGAATCCAAGCAATTAAAACATGGGTGAGGCAAAAAATGAGAAGTCAGAGAAATGGGACTGTGAGACTCATTAGGAAAGAGGCAGGAGCTGCCAAGTAGAGCAGCAAAATGAAACCAAGGGAGGCAGGTGGGGAAAGACATGTTTTATAGATGGGTGAGCCATGCTGATTAAAATAGGTGTGGACTGAACACTTTGGTTCTGCTGCTCCTTTCCCACTGGATCCAGCCCTGCGTGCCTTCCAGAAGGAGCTGAAGGGGAGCTGTGAGGTCACAGGGGTGCTCGTGCCTGTGGCAGGTCAGCCATCCCACTCACGCTCTCCCCACATTTTTCAGCACCAAGGAAGTTCCAGATCCCCCTTGGCAGGCACAGCAGTGACCAGGCTCAGCTGTGGGGCACCGGAGCAGCGAAGAGCAACTGAGGTATCCAAAAATTCCCTTTTATCCTGAAAGCATCATTGGTATCCAAGAGGCACCAGGTGTCCCAGCAGCATCCTCTGCCACGGCTTCGGCAGCACAACGTGTCACCCACGGGCTCAGGGCCTCTTCTGCCAGGAGCCACCAGGATGGAGGGGCTGGTCTGCCCAGCCCTAAGGCCACCTTCCTCATCTGCATCGTCCTCCTCCTCCTCCTCTCCCTGCAGGGCAGGTCCCTCTGTCAGCTCTCCAGGCTCTCATCAGGCTCCCCCAGGAGTGCATCCCTCTCCTCGAGGGTCCCAGGCCGTCCTTTCCGATAGGCCAGGAACTGGAAGGAGATCTGGGGAGAGGTCAAGGCTCTGCACTCACAGGGCGATCTCGGGGATGCACGGGGTGTCAGCACCCCGGGTTTGTGCCAGGGGAGGTGGGAGTGGGACAAGGAGCTCAATGCACACCAGGGGCTGAGGCGTTTCCCAGCTGCTGCAGCACCACGGATGCCCCAGGGAGCAGCAGAGCAGCATCACCTCACCCTCTTGCACGGCCCTGCTGGCAGGCCGGGATCCCATCCCAAGGGAAAGGATACAACCACGTCCAGGGCCAGGACGCCCAGGCTGCCCACGAGCCAGGGCAGGTGGTGCAGGATGTAGTCACCTTGGCCCTGGCCTGGCTCCGGGTTCTTCAGGAGGACACTGAGGCCGTACAGGGAATTCCCCAGCATCACCAGGGCAAAGAGAGAGTAGGAGACCCCGCTGGTGGATCTCCTCTTGTACTGGGAAAAGAGGGAGAGGAGAGGAGCTTGGGTGCAGCTCTCCTCAATCTCTCTACAACATGCTATTAATCATGCTCTCCCCCAGCATTAAAAAAAGAGAAGTGGTGATTCAGTGCCCAGAGTCTTTTAGCTCTCCTTTGGCTTGTAAATAAGACAAAATTAAAGCCCCACCATCAAAATATCAGTAGGTTGAAGGGAGGACAGAAAAATAGAGAGAAATAGTCCCTTATAGAATGATCAGAGATGGGGCCTGCGACCTCCGAGCAGAGAGGAAAAAGGAGAAACCCCCTGGGGGAGAAAGGAGAATCCCCCGAGGAGAAAAGAGAATCCTCTGGGGGAGAAAGGAGAATCCCCCGAGGAGAAAAGAGAATCCCCAGAGGAGAAAAGAGAATCCCCAGAGGAGAAAAGAGAATCCCCTGGGGAGAAAAGAGAATTCCCTGAGAAGAAAGGAGAATCCTCTGGGGGAGAAAGGAGAATCCCCTGGGGAGAAAAGAGAAACCCCAAGGGGAGAAAAGAGAAACCCCTGGGGGAGAAAAGAGAATCCCCCCGAGGGATAAAGGAGGCTCCCCAGCCCCCTGGGAGTGACACTGAGGAGAGCCCCGGGGTCCCAGGCTGGGCACTCACGTTGGTGCAGATCTGGGGCACTCGGGAGCACAGGTAGAGCACGGAGGAGATGGAGCCAATGGTAAATCCAATGATTTCAGTCCTGGAGAAAGGCTGCAAGGCAGGGGCGGGGACATCCCCTGGGCTCAGAGCCCCAGCACGGCCACACCCAGCCCCGCGTGTGCCCCGCTCCCCTCCTCTGACAGCCCGGCGATAATTACAACTGATAATTACATGTCACTTTGCCACAGGAAAACAGCCAGTGCAATGTGTTATAACAGGAATTGGGTTTATTTGCATTGTTCGGAGAGGTCCTTTTCTATTGCCAGAGCAAAACTATTTTGCAAACCTACCTTCAGTTTCAGCCAACTGAGTTACCTTGCTGCACTTTCTTGCTTGTTTGATTTTCAGCAATATATATAAATGTGGATAATTAGAAAAAGAATTAAAGGGGATAAGTCTTACAAATTTCCTGAAAAAAGGAACCACTTTTTTTTTGTCCATCATGTGCAGCTATCTGATATAAAGTCTGTTTGCAAACAGAGAAGTGGGAAATGTGAGGTTTGCTGACTCTTGAGCAGGCCCACAGAAGTGCTTGAAGTTCAAAGTGAAAATGCCCTGAAATGTCTGAAATCCTGCAGCAAACTGCTCCTGAATTTTGGAGGAATCTCTGGAAAAGTTCTCTCTCCAGTGCCATCTTCCTACACTCTAACAGTCTCCTGGAGAACAATTTGGCCCTAAAATAGGAACAGCCTCTAACCCCAAAACATGTAGTGGGGTCCAGGGTGTTTTTTTGGGATCACAGCATCCAGCAGGCCATCCCCACCCAGACTGTTATCCCAGATTTAGGAACTGGCTCACCTTTGGTCCAAGCTCATCCCCAGGAGCTGACAGCAGAGACCTCCCTCTGAAAGGCCCCGGAGCCTCGGTGCTGGCACTGCCCAGGAGGGAGAGGCTGGGCAGGGACCCCAGGGACAGGAACACAAAGGCTGCGTTGATGGGAGCAGGGACTGCAGAGGCAGACAGAGCCTGATCAGGAGGAAGCCAGCAACACCCAGCAGCCCCAGGGGTGCCAGGACCCTCTTGGGCTGAAGAAATCTCCAAACTCCCCCTTATCTCACAAAGGGACTGAGCAACCTCTGAACTCTCCCTTATCTCACCAAGGGATGGGGCAGTGGCTGCTGTGGGTGACTGATGTGATTTATCTCCCAGTGATGTGCCCAATTTGTACCTTATCAGGGAGGAAACTGCTCCTATCTTGGTTTCTTTGTGTTTAGGGCTCCATTCCCACTACGAGATTTCACTGTCTTAAGTCACTCTCAAATCTCTGCCAGAGCAAGCCCTGCTGTGGCTTATTTGTTAGCAGTAATAAATTATTTTTCAGTAACTTTTAGTGATTATATTCAGTAAACAAGCTCTCCAGCTTAACAAAACTATGGATCTGATGGGTCAAATACCAAGTGGCTAATAACTTTCCATGTCCTTACTAAGTTAAACAATCACCCCAGTCCCAAGGAGCCTGTTTGGGGTTCAGCAGTGCTGGAAAGGGGATTTCCTCTGTTTAAACCCTGCAAGAATTTTTCACTCCAGTTGAACAGACAGGAACTTCCCTGTCAAGGCTGGAGCACTGACCCCAAATCTGGGAAAACTTCCCCCTTTCCCTTCCAGCACTGCCTGAGTTAGGAGTTCTGTGATTCCCAGCTCTGAGGAGGAGTCACCACATAACTGTGGGGGATTTATTTAATTCTGTGCCCAGTGAGGCTCATGGGGGGTTGTGTTCAGCCTGTGGGGGTGGGTTGCAGGGTCTGCAGAAGCCCCAGGCCCAGCCTGTAGATGATTGTTGGCTTTGGCCCTCCTAGAGGCTCAAATTATCCAAGGAAAAAATCCCAACCCAGCAAGCACTAAGAGGCATCATCTAATAACTGTGCCTGGAACCTCCTGGGCTCCCCCTCTCTGCCCCCAGTGCCCAGGGCAGCAGAGGCCCCAGCCCTGCCCAACTCACACGCTCTGCCCCTGTTCTTCACCCGGTAGTAGCAGTAGAGGGAGAGCATCCCCAGGTCTGCCAGCACGTAGTAAATGGCCGTGTACACCTGCGGGGAGGGGACGTGCTGGGGACACCCGCGGGCACTGGGATGGTCCCACAGGGTGCTCCCTGCTCTCCCGGTGTCCCTGGGGGAGAGGGGAGGGTGCTGAGGTGGAGAAGGGAACAGCCCCCAAGGAAGGAAAAGAAGTAAACCGGGGGTGAAGCAGGGAGCATCCCTGGAGAGAAGGGAAAACACCAAGAGGAGAAAAAGGGAGCATGCCCACGGGGGAAGGAGGGAGCATCCCTGGGAGTGAATGGAGCATACCCTGGGGGGAAAAGGGAGCAAGCCCAGAATGGGAGAGGGGAGCATTTTGTGGGGGCAAAGAGAGAGCATCCCAGGCAGTTTGGGTCTCTGGCTCCCAGTGCTGGATAAAGCAGCTGCCAGCCCCTCCCTCCTGCCTGGAGCTGGGGCGTTTGAGAGCCAGCCCCGGTACCTGCAGGGGCAGCTGATCAGCCAGGAAGGAACCGATGAGGTTGAGGAGGTCTCCGCCCAGCCATCCCAGCAGGAAATAGATGGAGAGAGCCTGGTCCATGATGCCCGTTCTGCAGGCCTGGTAAAACTGCCTGTAGAGCATTGGCAGAGGCACAAACATCACCCTCAGCTGCTTCAGCGCTACCTGGGAGCCATCCCCAGGATTCCTGTGGATCCCAAAGCAGGCACGGGAGGAAAAGCAAGGCCACGAGCTCCCCTGACCCCAGGCAGAACTCCTGAGCCCCTGCGGCGCTCAGCGAGTGCCCTGTGGGAGGAGCAGGGAGGATGATCCCTGCAGGATCCTCCCGTCTGGTTTCGAAAGAACCGTGACCGCTCACGTGTCCCTCTGTCACCCTTGTGTCAGCACTTCCAAGCACCCCAGGGCTCCCGGGGACATTCCTTCTGCCGTGTGACCTGTCCTGCCGGCCCTGCACGTGCCTGACGCGGGACATTCCGGCTGGCAAGCACAGCGACAACACCGCGGCCACCACCGGGGCTCCGGGGCTGTGCTGCTGCTCCCCTCGCCCCAAATGTGCCGGGCCCTCGCTGCTCCTGCCGGGAGCTTTGAATCATTCCGGCACCTTGTGCTTGCGGCCCCGTGTCTGCCATCCCCCGGGAAGGGCTGCCCGGCATGTGGGGGTGATACCCGGGGATTCGGGAGCGGCACCCAGGGGATTTAGGAATCGTACCGAATGATTCGGGAGCAGTACCCAGGGACTCGGCAGCGGCACCCAGGCTTTCGGGAGCAATACTCACGGGAAGGATGCGGCGATGAAGCAGGCAATGGAGCCCAGCCCCAGGACGATGCTGGCGACATCCCGGCCGTCCTGGGCACACTCATTGAACACATCCATGATCCAGCGGGAGCCGTTGGGACAATCGGAGAGATTCCCGAAGGGGAGACCCCTCCAGCGCCGCGCGGCCATCAACCCGCCGGGATAACACTGGGGAAAAGGGAATAGCACAGGGAAAATTGAGTAACACTGGGAACGAAAGATCTGTGGGAGGGACAGGTCTGGGGCTCCTCCAGGTACTGGTTCATGTTGGAAAAGATGGATTGTTAGTGGATAACACGCCTTTATTTGGCTTGGGTTTGCTGCCAGCCTGGCAGCGTTTGGCCTCAAAGGAGAAACAGAAGAAATAAAAGAAGAAATAAAGAAGAAATAAGAAGGAGAAAAAACAGGAAAACAAGGGAGGAAGGGGAAAAAAATAAAGGAAAAAATAAAAGTAAAAGAAGGAAAATGAAAAGGAAAAAGGAAATGGAGGGGGGAAAGAAAAAAAAAAAGAAAAAAAGAAAAGGAAAAGAGAAGAAGAAGAAAAGGGGAAGTGAAAAAAAAAAGAGGGGGAGGAGAATAAATAAAAGAAGCCGAAATCAAACCAACCTATCCTCGCAGCACCGGCACTCGTCTCTTCACCGACGCGGTTCACAACTGTATTTTTCCTTGAAAACCCGCTCTTTTCGAAACTTGGGCTGCTTTTCTTTACAAACCCACGACTCCTCAGCCACCCGCCGGTTTTCCTCTAAGGCTGTCCCACACCGCCGCTCTCCGCAGCCCTCAGCCGCTTGCTCGGGAAGCTGCCGGCAATCGGCGATTTTTGACAGTCCCGCAGCCTGAAATCAGCGAGCTTTTCCACAGAAAAAAAGTGGAAAAGCTTTTCCACTGCCGTCCCACACGATCCCCGCGGGTCCCGGCGCTGCCTGTCCCAAACAACCCGCTGTTCACCCCGGGCTCCCGGCGCTGCTTTTCCCAAACAACCCGCGGTTCCCCCCGGCCCCGCCGTGTGAGGGCGGGCGGGAGGGCGGCGGAGGCGGGCGGGGCCGCGCAGGCGCGATGGCGGCGCGGGCAGCGATGGCGGCGCGGGCAGCGATGGCGGCGCGGGCAGGGCCGCGCAGGCGCGATGGCGGCGCGGGCGGCGATGGCGGCGGTGGTGGGCGGGGCCGCGCAGGCGCGATGGCGGCGCGGGCAGCGATGGCGGCGCGGGCGGGGCCGCGCAGGCGCGATGGCGGCGCGGGCGGTGCTGGCGGCGGCGGCGGGCGGGGCCGCGCAGGCGCGATGGCGGCGCGGGCGGTGCTGGCGGCGGTGGCGGGCGGGGCCGCGCAGGCGCGATGGCGGCGCGGGCGGCGATGGCGGCGGTGGCGGGCGGCGGGGCCCGGCCCGCGGTGGTGCTGGGCGCTATGGAGATGGGCCGGCGAGCCGGGCCCGAGGCCAGCGCCGAGCTGCTCCGCGCCTTCCTGCGCCGCCGACACCGCCTCATCGACACCGCCTTCATGTACGCGGGCGGCGAGTCCGAGCGCATCCTGGGCACGCTGCT